TTACGTACTGAAAAATAGTTTTCTGACTTACCAAAGAAATAAGATGATCACATTCTTCATCTGATAGAAATCCCTTGTATAAAAAAGCCCTGACGAATAACAAATTCACCAAATTGAACACAACATGCAATAAAAAAATAAAAAGAATAACCAATTAACCGACCTAATCCACATATTCATACACACATTATAGCATATAACCAGCTAGAGATTAACGATGTACCTGGGACTCCATGAGAGCTGAGTCACCCGAGTGGGATCAAAAACAACAGAGGAAACATCACTCTTCAATCTAAGCACCGATCCGCCCCTGCCAAGAAAAGAAACAAAAACCAAAATCTAAAGATAAATCCAGTTGTCTTTCAATCCCACAAGAAAACAATTACATCGACAGAAAGGTATAAATACGTTTTCTTCTCGCGTAGCCAACCATGAATCCTAACGGAAGCCTGTGACGGACGGGAGAAAACGAGAAGGAAAGAGAGAGAAAGCACGAGAAACCACCGAGAATCCATGGGAAAATGCGTTACTCTTTGACAAAATAAAAAATAAAAAAAATAAAAAAGCTTTACAAGACAACCAAAAATAAAACTGCGACCGACGAAATGCAGAACCCAGAAATGAAAAACAACAAATATAGAAATTCAACGCAGGGAAAGAGAGAGGGAAGACTTTTTTTGTTTTGCCAGTAGGAGTAGATGGGAGACTGGGCTTCCTCTTTGTAGGATGGTTGAATTTTCTGGGTTAATTTATATTTAACCTAATTGTTTTTAATGAATTTAAGACACACTCATTAATGGAGGCGCCCACCGGATCTGGTTTCAACGGATGTGGTTTTATTATGTTGTAAAAACTCGAAACGCGTTTCTGGAAGGTTCCATCAGAGAAGATAATCTTTTGCTTTATCGGCCCCTGGTTTTGATTACCCATAACAAAACGGCAATGCCTTAAGGTTTAAAAAGAGAACAAATGTATTTTCGTTATTTATATTAAATTAGATATTTATCCAATCTTACAAATGTATTAGAATTTAAAATATTTAATTAATTACATTCCAATTAAAAATATATATATATAAATTAAGGTACATGTCATAATCGAAAATTTTATTAATAAAATCAGATTATAATATCATTATCTATAATAATGAGTTTAAAAAGATAAATTATATCTGCCTAATACATCAAATTTTAATTTTTAATAAAAGATCTATATAGTAAATAAAATATTTATAGATAAATAAGTTATTAGGAGTATACATGCTGTAGTCAATTAAAAATCAGGTCGTATTTTCATATTTAGAAAAAATAAAATGAATAATTATTTAATATATTATCATATTAATTTTATTTTTACATTTTGACTACTAGAATTCTACATTTACGTAATGTAATTAAATATTAACACATTATTTTTTATTTTAAAAAATCATGTAAGTTTTCCAGCTCCTTTCTTTTGCTCCAACTTATTGTCCTTCTTTTCGGCAAAAATCCATCTCCTTCAAGGTTCTTGTAAACCATGACCTTCAACTTCACCTTTCATCTCCTTCAAAGAAGTGTCAAATCTCTCATTGTTAAGCTGTGAAATATGCTAGGCTAAACCCATAAAAAAAAACCTTCAGCTTTGTACATTGAAAACCCCACCAAATTCTTCCATCTTAGAAACCAAAGGCTTGTGCAAAAACAACCCCTAAGCTTTTTTTATGTTTCTACAGAAGCCTTGATGCAGTTTATTAGTTGTTTTGTTTGTTTGCATCATGTTGATTTTCTTATTTGATATTTGGATCATGTTATATTGATTTGATTTTATGATCAAACGTATAAAGAAAAATTTGTGCGTGATAGGTGTTTGTAGAAATGCCTGAATGAAAATCTGTTTTGCCACAAATCAGTACTAAAACGTGTTTGCACAGAAGGTGTTCGAGGAAAATATTCAATGAGTAATGTTTCTGTAAATATAAAATGAATTTCCGTATATCATGTATTAGAACTTGACTATTTGAACATGAATATTTATAAATATGTATACCTATCCATTCAAAATCACGAAAAAATTTAAATCAAGTGTTCCATATGCATATAAATCTTTCATTCATTACAATCTAAATAAATTGAATAACCATATAAAAGTATCATAACTTGTTTCACACTTTTAACAAATTCAGTATGCACCGAAGATGTGTAGAGATACAAAACGACAACAAAATGAATTCATATAAACATCCCGGAAAATTTTCATTTCAACAGTGCAACATATATTCTAAAATACATCTAAAAAATATTCCATCATTAGAGGCATTGTCCGGACCAATGCAAATATGCAATTTTAGTATCTTTATAAGAACAAAACAAAAGTCATCATGAAATATGTGTCCGAATATGCCAAATCTTCACAATCCACTTGTGACGTGTCCTCCACTTGATCTTGCTCTTCTTGTTCTAGATCCTCTTGACTGTAGAGAGTAATTTGAATGTGAGTATTAGTCGACTTAGTGCTCG